TGTGGCCCAAATAAGCTAAACCCCCCTCCCTTACCTTATTTAGGCCACAGTCCACTGTGGCCCAAATAAGCTAAACCCCCCTCCCTTACCTTATTTAGGCCACAGTCCACTGTGGCCCAAATAAGCTAAACCCCCCTCCCTTACCTTATTTAGGCCATATGTGGCCTAAATAAGCACTCCCTTTTTTGTTTTGTTTTTGTAAGTGTTTTAGATCTATGGCATTTGCAGCACAATAAGGACATTGAAAACTGCTGAAGATTAAAGGTGTTACTGAGTAAAAAACACAAAAAAGAAGGAGTGTTAAAGACAATAGATGTTTGATACGAAGAAAGGATTCTAGGAGCAAACTACACCACAGCACCCACCAACCATCCACCTTTTGACGTTGAAAACCCCCCCAAAAAAACAAACGCGAACAAAACAAGGAGAGTAAATATAAAGAAGAACCTGCCCAATGGAGTCCCACAACCACCAGCCCATAACAGAAAATTAGCTGGAAATTGTGTACAGTATGCATACTGTGTTTAACAACACACCCTTCAACATTGTAAGTATGGTAAGTTTAGTTTTAGTAAGAGTTACGGTACTTGCAACACAATAAGGTCATATAAGTGCCAAAGATTAGAGATGTTACAAGAGAGTAACAAACAGAAAAAAAGAAGGAGGGGAAATAAAAGATGTTTGTTGATAGGAAAGAATCTCTAAGCAAACCACACCAGAGCACCCGCCAACCACCCACTAAGCACAGTAAGATTTCATGTACTCTACAGATGTAAACCAGTGTTGATGGAGAATGTTGAATGATATCTGCTGATATCTTCGATCAGTGCATCACACAAATAACTCAAAGTGGAATTTTTCAAGAAAGAAAAAACGAAAAAAAACCCAACCCCCCAAAACCCAATAATTCTCACTGCCAGACATTCATGACACACGAAAGGTCGCCACATTTCTCGATTTACTTGGAAACTCCAGTTATACCATTATATGGCATGATGTAATGTATTTTTGTGGCTTTTATTTATCACATTATGTACGGCATGATGTATTTTTGTGGCTTAACAAAAGCCTGAAAGCTAACATTAACACCTGAGACCATGCCAAACAAAACATGATAATATAAAACAAAATCAAAGTCTCAGATTCAGTTTCAACAGTTCTGTATTTTTCATTAGCAAAGAAAGGAACATGATTTTGCTAATTATGTTCTGCCTATGAGAAACGTTAGTAGAAGGCCCTATCATTCAACATGAACAGATGAACAAACATTGTAAAAGTGCATACATCACGTGTGTAGGTACATAGTATTATTGTGACAAATAGAATGTCAAAGGTCACCATCTGACAATAACATTTTAAAGGCAACACCAAAAGGATGGTCAGTTCAATTTTCCCACAATTTCAAGCACTGAGCAAAAATCCATGACCTGATGTAAAATTGCAAAATCAGAACAGAGAAGCACATGGAGAAAAATATCCACAACCGCATATATTATGTATATATGATCAGTATTATATTCCGAATATAATATATCTGATCAATGCATTCCCATAGCCACTCTTCCCTAGACCACTTCATTTGATGAATGTTTGGTTGAAAGCAACCTCAAAATTTACACGAACTGAACAGCAACAAATGTTTAAATACATAAATTAAAGACATTTCATGCTGCATCAAGAATAAAATACACTCGTATCTTTTCAAGCAAGCTGGATTTCCAATCAAAGGAGACAATATTATAACAAATGACATTGCATATCTTGAGTAAGCTCAGATTTTTAAAAAACCCATTAACAAGCTGTATATTATACTTGCTAGCTGAAAAATTAAAACAACACTCCATTCGTCATTCAATATTTGCGTTCTGTTTACTACAAAAAGAGGCAGACTTATACAAAAAGGAACTTACCGGTTAGGAAAATGGGGAGTGACCTCAAAAAATAAAACCATGACACGATCAGAAATCTTTTCCGAGTAAGCATTAGACAATTGTGTCTGAAAAATTCTCACTACAGAATTCGCTGAGTCTATTCAGAAAGATCCGACCAACTTGTGAAATTCAAATCTCCCTTCTCTCTCTACAAAACACTGAAATCTCCACTCAGTCTTTTCAAGTCATGAATGACATGCTTACTCACTGTGATTCAGGAAGAGTTGTTTTACTGAGCCTTTTTTAAGATCTATCAGCAAGCTTTTGATAAAACTGCTTATTGAAGTGATTGGAAGTGTCTTTTGGAATATCCGGGACTGCCCCTTACCTGTTTTTTTGCTTACCTATCACAATCAAATCGATATTATTCAGTATATATTTTTCCTTTCCTTCATCTGTAATTTCTCTAGTGCCCAGCCTAAAAAATACATCACGGTCAAAGTCTGTCTCTTCATGCTCGAGGTTGCTTTTTGGTATTTTAAAATTTTTCTTTTAATCACACAACACTGTCACAAGAGTGAGTTTTTTAAATCAGTTTGACGGCATTTGAGATACACCAACAGGTCACATAAGTGCCAATGTTTAGAGGTGTTACCACGGAAAAGACGGAGGAAAGAAAAGGGCGATAGATGATGGAGAAAGAAGGAGCAACCCACACCAGAGCACCCTAAGTATGCACAGACGCATACTGAAACAAAATGAGTCTGAAATAGAGCAACACAAAACTGACCACCAAGGAAGAAGCAAAACTGTATCCAGTATCTCCTCAGTCCTACTGATTTCACAGACACAAGTAAAGTACAGAGAACAGAACACCACAGTGGGAAAAAAGAAATAGCTGCTCTGTCAACAATTGAAAAAGGTTAGGAAAAGAAATCACAGCTCTGACTACCAATGCATGGTATTCTCACGTAAATTATTGCAAAGTAAAATTCTCAGTGCCCAAACATAGATCTACATGATACAGGTATCCGATCCGCTGATATTTATTGCCATAATATTGTGTACTCAGAAGCTTTGGCCATTTTATACAGTTAAAAAAAGAGATCAGAAAACCTTTAGAATGTACTTCTACTCCTATAATTTTTATTTCAGAGAAAAGAGTACAGGTAACAGGTAAAAAAGAAACTGCTCGACAAAATAATAATGGCACTCTTCAAGTCATCATAAAGCAAAAAAACAAAAACAAAAAACAAACAAACAAAATCCCTACTGGAAACTGCACTAAAATTGGAGTCACTAACTGCAACTGTAGAAATACATTTTAGCTGCAAGGACAGAAATAGTTATCCCTCTCTCTCCCTGCTTGCTATCGTTGTTGCCTCGAGACCAACTCAAGGGCACAGTGACAAAACCAAGTAAAGAGCAGAACTGCAGAGCTGCACGCAGTTTTTACAGTGGGAAAACAATCGAAGTCATCAAATTCATAGACAGATTCAATTTATAAAAACCTTTGTTTCAAGTTTCCTGAGCAACTGTTTCTGTTTAATATCTGTCCCTCAGAAGATATTACATTTGTGCATTGAGAAGAAATCCTGATTTTAACAACCTTTGTTGGACACGTCTTTTGGTGCGCTCCTCTGACCATCTGACGACATCATAGTTTGCGTTTAGCAGCCACAGATTTCACCGAACAACTCACATAATTAGCTGCTGCCTGCCGCCATTCTGTTGAGGTAATCTTTACGCACAGAATGATCATCTGCTCCGGGCCGGTCGATGGGTGTCCATACTGGGTCGCCAGCGAATAGCCTCTTGGCTTTGATGTAATCCTGTTTAGGAAAGAAAAACAAGACTTTTAAAATGGAGAAAAAGGTATTAATTCAAAGGGAAATATCCAGAATTTTTATGCTTTTAAATGACGTTCCTTTCTTTAAACACATACTATAACTTCCTTAAAACACATTCTATTCCTTTCTTTTCAAATACACAAAGACAAGTTGTTTTATTTTCTTATACAGTCTGGCACGGATTTAACTCAAACACGTCGGGGACTGACAAATGAGTTCGACTCATCCATCATTCGGATCAACCAATAAAATAATGAAAAATTGAAGAGATATCAGTCGCGGAAGGGCAAATAGAATGAGCTATCCACGATTTTGAGTATTCCGCGTTTCTGTTATCTGGGCTCGAAATGTACAACAGGATCACAAAATGCAAAGCACACTATCACAGCACTGGCAAAGGTCTCCACAATACTCTTGTGTACATGTGGCGTCTGTGGCCTAGCGGTTAGGCTACCGGACTCGTAATCACGAGGTTGCAGGTTCGGGGGTTCGAGCTGCGGGCCCAACGTTGTGTCCTTGGGAAAGGCACTTAACACAAATTTTCCTCACTTCACCCAGGTGGGAATGGGTACCCGGCCATAGACAGCGAAAGATCTTGTAAGTATGTTGGTGGTTTAGTGCCTATAAACGGCTGCTTGCACATTATGCTCCCCAAGAAGTTGAGGTTGTTTTAGAATGCTCTCAGGTCTGCTGGGGTAGCAGTACAGATTGTGAAACGCATAGAGATTGCTGTTGAGCTGGGATTTGCACTAGATAAATGCTATCTATTATTAAATGTCCAACCTGAGGCCAGCTGTCAATTATATCCCGTCCGAGAAAGAATTTTAAAATCTCTATAACACGGAACCTTACAGCAAACATACACAAACTCGTTGCTAAGAAAAGATGCAAAACATCCAGCATTGCCAAGTTGGCATGCCTTGATTTGTTGATATTTCAACTTTGAGGTCTCTTATTATTCAGGTCATTCTTTAATTCGCTTTTCCACTGCTCAATGACAATGAGTGTTTATCAGGTTTGGGGGACAGATTCAGCCGTCCTGGTGGTTTTATGCACCCCGCATAATTTAGCAAAATTTGATAATTTTTTGCATAATTTCTTATTATTTTCCTTTATCATTCTTTGTTAAAATTAACAGAATCGCATAATTTCACATTTTTGGGTTCAGTTTGTATAATTTCAGAATTTTTCTTGCATTAAACGACGGGGACAGATTCAGACAATATCACATTTCCAAAAAAGGTGAATTGTGCTATGAGAATTTTCTATGCATCACGACATTGTGGAATCAGGCACTCATCAGTTTTTGGGCATATGGAGTTACTGCCTGGCATCATCTTATAGATAGCTAATTCAGTTGTCTTGCTTTCGATGAAAATTAGTACCCATTTATCTTGAAAAGAAATCGAGATAATTCAGAGACTTTGTGATTGAAAAAAGTGGTAAAAATTAGAGAGAAACTGACCGCTCAAGTTTAACAACTTCCAAAGATTGAGAGTCCCCGGAAACTGTAAATTTATCTGCTTTGTGTGTTTGATTAACATTTTTCAAACAAATATATGTTTTTAAATAGATTTACTCGGTAAAATAATAATTTAATATAGAAGGTGTTGAGACAAAAAAAAAAGAAAGAAAGTCAATAATAAAAATTGCTGAACATACATAATATTATTATGTGTGGAAAATTGGTAGTTTCTTTAATTTCATTATTTTGACAAGCGCCCGATTTCACCAGGATGCTACGCACACACACACCCATACACACACACACACACACACTTACCGCCGTGTCAGGAGTGAATCTGTGGTAGATTCCCGCTGGCAAAACGATCAGGTCGTCCTTCACCACCTGAATTCTGATCCACTTGTCGTCACAGTCCCTCACGTCAAAGTAGCCGCTGCCAGCTTCAATAAAGCGAATTTCTTCATCGGCATGAATGTGCTCTTTGAAGAAAATTTTAATCTGAAAAACAGTTTAAACCATAGTGAGTTAATAATATTCATAACAATTTAACCCTTACAGCACTACTAAGCTATTTTTAGCCCTCACTTCCCTCTGGCCCAGGTAGTATTGGAGTCCACCTTGACTTCTCAAGCACAGCCGAAATTGACTGCGTCTGCAGTATTCTAATCAGATATCACAACATGTTTTTATACAGCATTTCTCTGAAGTTTTCCAAGATAACATGTTGTAGGATACTTCTCAGAGACAATTGGGCATTGGCGTGATGATAACAGAAAAAGTATGCAACTAACTGGGTTTAAGGTAGCTGGCGCCCTATGAGGTAAAAATGAGTTTAGTTTTACAAAGAGTTTTACGGCATTTGCAACACAATAAGGTCATAAAAAAGTGCCGAAGACTATAGAGGTGTTACAAGAGATATCTATAGCAAACATAAAAAAAGAAGGAGGGGAGAAAAAAAAAGATAGATGTTTGGAAAGAAGAAGCAAAACCAGAGCACCCGCAAACCACCCATGAGGTAAATGAGACTCCGCCAAGAGAAATGAGAACTTGCGAGGGATTGGTGTAACTGTGGGAAACTTTAAAGGTTAGGAAAACTGTTTATAAAAGAACAATCACGAATTAATGATTTTGTAGGGTCCTGCAACTGCTGTTCTAACATTTGAAGAAACTGGACGCAGCCTTACACAACAAATTTATAAATTAAAACCACACAATGTAAAAATAGAATTTTTAAAATGGCAATTTCCAAATGAACATTTTGATGACAAAACGCCATTTTTCGAAATAGTAACATCGTATCCGGAAAGGTGAGGCACATTCCACTCATTTATAAGATATATTTTTTTAAAACTGATGCTTTGGCACACAATAATTCTTTCTTCTATATGTAAGTGCCGATACACTGGGGCTCTTCTATTCACCTTTTAATCATTTTATCATTATAATCTTTAAAAAAAAACTGGTACAGAAAGGAATGTCAACAGAACAAGAAAAAAGAAAAGCAGGTCTTCCATCATGTATAATATATAAAATCCCTAACCAAAATTAAAGAAAGCTATAATATAATATGGTCTTCCGTGTATAAAAAAATCCCTAACCAAAATTAAAGAAACTTATAATACATTATATATATATATTATAGGTTTCTTTAATTTTGGTTTGGGATTTTATATTATACATGGAAGACCTGCTTTTCTTTTTTTTGGGGTTCTGTTGACATTCCTTTATGTGCCAAATTTTTTTTTCCGATTATAATGATTTGATAAAATGATTAAAAGGTGAATAGAAGAGCCCCAGTGTATCGGCACTTATACATGATATATATTAGACTTTTTAAGATTTACAAAACATACCTTTTCCTCGTAGTTGGGAAAAGTTGTTCTTGATACTTCGATTGTATCCTCATAAGTGATGCCTTTTTTTTTCTTGATGGCCGTATAGTCAGGGTTTGTGTCATATGTTGCAGCATCAATCTATTTTTGAGATAAAATGCATAGATCTATATAAAAACAAATCTCGGCATCTCCATTTAGTGTAAAAGACTTTTACAGCAACTGAAACACAAAGGTCAAATTAAGGAGTTGTTTGAAGTTGTGAGCATTTTAGGAAAAATGTCCTATATATATATAATATTATGGTAGGCCTATGCAACACTTCGAATGGATCATTTACAGAGTAATGGTCAATGACTTGCACTCTATAAAGTTGCAGTTAGGTTGCCGAAAACGCTGTAAGTTAAAACCAGCTCTAAATTAGTAGCGTAGCAGTAATAATTTTCTAAATAATCTAAATAAAATCCAATAAAAATGACACAATTTAAAATTAAATCGTTCTCCTTTTTCCACAACTAACAAGAAATCTGTGAATTTTCTTTGAGCATTTTTGAGTTTGAAGTGATTGAAGTTGAAGCACCTCTGTGCCGTGCTGCAACTCCCCAGGGAGGGTTCGCAACTGGAATCAAGAAAACGTGGGATCTATCGAAAGTGGCTATTCTCACCCGCCCGGAAGTTCTCGCAAGATCAACTCCTCCCCTCTTCTCTCTCTCTTTCTGAATACTGTCTATCGGTGTGGACGATCAAATTGACCAAAACAAAGTTAAAAAATGATGTTAAAACACAAAAGTAAATTAATTTGGTTGTCTACAAAGATGCTACGGCTATTTAACTTTTCGAATCGAGCCGAACTACGCGGGTCGCCATTTTGTTTTGCCCGGAAATTCTCGCGCTACTCCTCTCTCTCTTTCTCTCTCTCTCTCCACTGCCCACAGACAAAATTGTACGCTTTTAGTAGGCTACAGTTGTAATGGAACGTTTGTTCACGGCACAGAATTCTACAATTTTTCTGTTATCACAGTGTAGAATTCTGTGGTTTAGGGTGAACGCAAAATTTGGTGAACGCGCACCGGGTGAGAATAGCCACAAGACTCGCCTACACTATTCTCACTCTGGGTGAGAATAGAGGTGGCCGGATCTATCTCTATCAACGTTTGGTGAGTGACAGCTAGAAGCTTCTAACAAGCAAACCTCTGGATATCTATTCTAAGTCTAGAGATAGCTATTCTATCTTGATGTAGAATCTAGATATCTAGAATCTATCTGGAACCTGGGTTGTGATCGGTATGGATCCACATTGAGAGGCTAGAATCTAGATTAGTTCTAACTGTACTTTACTTACAGGGAAATATTCCACTCCCGACTTTTCGTACAATTCTTCCTGGGGCACATAAACTGTATTTTCAGGCTTGCATGGCTCCCTACAATTCAAACTTTCATCAGTGTCCATATACCAAGCTTGCACCATTTTGAGAATTCTTGGAGTATAACGTACACTGAGAAGTTGATCGTGAGACGGACTGCAAAAGACTGCAACTGCAAAACACTGCAAGTAGGCCTAGGCCAGGGCAAGATCGACGGCAAAAAGACTCGAGGCCTCGATTCCAAAACTGAAAAAGAGTCGAGGAATCGACTCCGATTTTCGAGTTTGGAA